ATCATCATCATCTTGTAAAAAGACAACGTTCGTGCGATTCAAAAACGAAGCTGCGCAGCACAGACGAACAAGTTCACATTGGAACAAAACATCACGTTGGCCTCCTCACTGACAGCAGCTGGAGCCGCAGGAGTTGCCCTTACACACGCAGCCAGAGGCGCACTTGCTGCAACCAGACGGGCAGCAGGGACAGCAGCCTGTGTGGGAGAGAACAGTTTAGCCACCCGATTTAAAAGAAAAAAGGGACAAAGAACTTAATATTGAGCTGTAATAGTTTACGTACTCTTCTTGCATGTTGTACACTGGCAATTAGTGCACTTGCACGTGGCACCACAGTTGCAAGTTCCAGCTACACGCAGAAGAGGGGGGAAAAAATAAAAAATAAACCCCACAGAAAAAGTTAATGTTGTTGACACTGATTGCAAGTCTGTAAGAAACTAGATTTCAAAGTACAAACAATAAGTGCAGCATAATTGAAAACTCAACATCTAAAAAGGCTTACTCTTGGCACAATCGCAAGGATCCATTTTCCCTCAAGAGTATCCTTAAAGAGTCCGAAAGTCCCTTAGAAGTCTCGCTTCACTCGGTTTGTGAATGCGTTGATGTGGAAGGTACCAGAGGACTGATCGTGCGCTGGTTTTATACAGCTCTGACTGCACACAGCCCGAGCGCAAAAGCCCGCCCACTCCAGTCTGCACACGGTGACTCATTAATGACACTGGGTGCAAAGTATCAAACAATCAGGAATCACCGAGCCCACCCTGATTCACATCAAAGTGGTATTTATACGATTATATAACTACCATTTCCACTCCGCGGGCTGAATATTGATTGCGGCGTGTTTATGTGATTAGAGAATTCGATGCTTTTGCATGTTGATTTCTTTTTTGGGAAGTGAAAGATATTCTTTTTACTAACAACTCTTTTTTAATAAGACACTATTTTGTTTGAGTCAAAGAGAACTATAAAAGACCATACTTTGTCATACTTGCTCAGTTTTTGAGCTTCTTTAATGGTTTATAAAGTGATACTACCCTACTAAATATTAAAATAAACACGTATTTAAGCATAAATAAATGGTCATTTAAGCAGATAAGGCCCATCGAGGGCGTCTTTAGAAGATGTTCGCGTACAGGCAAATTTTGAATTTTTGAAAGCTTTATTCTCTCCCATGTAATTGTTTGTCGTTTGTCACTTTTTGCACACGGCACCTAAAGTGAAACAATGTCTGTGTGAAACTGCACGTGCTCCCCCTGTCTGCACTCGGCGAGGATGCTGGCAAGACGACAGTAAACAGAAGAATTGATTTGCACTCGTTAACTCACTCGCTGTTGACCGGGAGTATTTTTCCATTACCCATCACTTCATTATAACTGAAATGTAACGAGTGCAGAGTGTCTTTGGATTTTGGGGGGTGAAGATCATTCAAGCATTAAAATGCCAAACAAACGCGCATTCAGAACAGCTATGCTCACTCAACAAGTGGACGTTTAATATTCTGTGAAATAGCCTACCTTATTAATAAATAATCTGTCATTTTAATGATTTGTTATATCCAGTGTTGAGCACATTCAAAATGTAGCTAGCTAAACAACCACTGTACCGAAAAGGAATGTAAATATACGGAATGAAATTTAAAAAGGAATGTATATTTCAATTTATAATTTCAATAAATTGTTACTCACTATAAAAAAAATGATTAATTCACGAACCAGACATTGATAGAACAGACCGTCGCCAAAAATACTCAACACACTGCTTGATTGTTGAAATAGCGCCAGAAAAAATGTAATGTAGCTAGCTAGTATTGTAAATAAAGTTAATTCACCTCAGTATTGGTGTAATTAAACTACTACTATTTTATAATCTGTCATTTATTCACCCTCATGTCGTTACAAACTTGCATGACTATATTTAGTAGAAACAAAAAGAAGATATTTTAAATTTTTTTGGTAACCAGTTTTGGTTACCATTGGCCTCCAATGAATGCAATAATATTAATAATCATAATAAATAAACCTTAGACCATTTTCAAAATATCTTCCTTTACCTTCAACAGCAGGAAAAAAGTAATGCAGGTTTGGATTGACATGAGTGCGAGTAAATGATACCAGAACATTCATTCTTGGGCGAACTAAATCATAGGATCAGAAGCAGGAAAGTGACTTCGGATGGACTTTTATTTACATCCGATAGAAACTATTCCACATTTCCACCATTCCATTGGGAAGGTTACTTTAGAAATAAGTTACAGATTACAAGTTACCCTATTAAAATGTAATA